GCGAGGGCAAAGCCACGCCAGAAAATGGGAAAAGGGAAAGAGACATCAGGTTACTGCGAGGCAGAGCTCACAGTCAGGGAGGGGCAGATAAAGTCTTAGAAAAGGTGGATGCACCGAGAAGCTTCCTCCGAACACAAGCTTTGATCTTTCTGAATGTATTAGTGCCTGCTCTCGAGCCATGGACACCGCCAATCCTGCTGGTGGAATGAGGAGGGAAGGCCGTTTCTTCTTCACAAAAGACTCAGCATGGAGCTTGGAATCTAGCTACTCTTCAGGTTGCTTGTTAAGTAGGCAGATTTCCAGGATCCACTCTTGGATATGCTGGTTTGGAATGTTTGGCGGGGACCCTGGAGTCTGCATTTTTTTAAAGCCTCACCAGGTTTGGAACCACTGACGTGGGATGCTGCGGTTTGGGGAGTGCTCTGATGTCCAGTCTTCTCAATTCAGCCACCTCTAGCTTGAGGGATCTCTAGTCCAAAGATCAGTTGGTGGTGCTTCTGGGATGCACTGCCATTCAGCCGGGCTCCCACTGCGGACACACAGCTCATTCCCCTCTGGAGCTCAGGGAGGCTCCTAGCTAGCGCCCTAAGGAGCTCAAAGAGATCAAGACGGAACAAAATCAAAACTAGCTATAACTTGTTTTTCTGTTATGAAGCATTTGATCTCCACCCACTACAAACAAAAAGTGTTTGACAATAAATAAAAAGGAGATTGGATATTTTACTCTATCAAGACCAGTTATAAGAAAAACAAAGGTGGTGGTTGTTAGGCTTCTTCAGAAAGCTGACACTGGTGGTCAGACTATTCCAACTCTAACCATGTTCTCATTTCTGCCACTCTGTTTAATAATAATAAGAGCTCACACTTAGGTATTGCTTAGCTTGTTTTATTCTGAATCATTTATTTAGGCACTCATAGTCTCTACCTAACTTCTTTCCATCGGTTTAATTTTTGACAAAAATATTACAGTACCCCCAATTGCACAGGTTTTTCAAATAAAACCTCATATAGACCAACACTTAAAAATTAAATGAATCATTCGTTACATGTTTGAATATGCAAAACCTTCCAGCCTGGGGAGAACCCAGGCCTAGCTATGCTTCTTTGGCATTTCAGCTACCAGAGTGTCTACTCATTACCTTTATGGTTTTTTCCATTACATGGAAAGCAAACATTGATATCTCTGAGCACATAGAAATTTTCTTCTGCAGAAACTAAGTAAACTCTACTGTGAACAGGGCAACTTGTCTAACCTCCTCCCTTCTATTGCTGAACAGGGATAGTGTATAGTGTGAGGCTGAGTGACTGTGGTTATTTATCTTTGGCCCTATGCAGCAGTATTGGTATATCTGAGACTCTATCCAGTTTTTAGAAGTTTCCATCTCTCTTTCTCAAGTGACACCATTTATATTCTTACTGCATAGCAATGCCTTAAAATTAAGTGAACTAAAATTCTCTAAAACTTAACTTCCTAAACACACCACAGTATAAATATATGCTACATGGACAGAATAGATTGGGATTAAAAGAACAAAGAGAAATAAGATTTTTCTAGAGTCAGTTGAAATAAATTGTGAGTGGATTATCTTGAACAAAATTTAGGAATAGTTTGCCCTTGAGTAGTAGACATATTTTAGATTTAATCTAAATAATCTAAAAAGTTCTTCCCTCTATGCTATTTTGCCATCTTCACTAAGAAAGAATAAATAAATACCATTTAAAATTTTCAATTTAACATCCCTAGCATGGAAACAGGAAGAATTTCACAATTTAAGAAAACTAAAGTGTTTCATTGTAAAGAGAATACAGATTTTGTAGGAGTAGAACTGGGCTGGAATTCTCGTTAATCCCTAACTAATGGCTAAGCCTTAAACATTTAGCTTTTCAATCTATAAAATGGGCTTAATACTATTTGCAGACTTGTAAAGATTAGAAATTATATCTGTAAATCTCTAAGCATAATCTCTGGTATATGATTTTGATGGTGATGATGATGAGTTTTTAAGAATTAATACTACCATAAGCCCAGTCATTTATTTTTGTCATTTTGCATGTTCCAACTTTCTTTGTGTCAGGTAATCCTACTGTGGCTTTATTATTTTGCTTGACATAATTTCCCATAACGACAGAGCACCATATTCAGAAGGAATAAGAAAACACACTCCAAAGTAATACATATAAATACGCAATTATAAATAAAATGTTTTTAGAATGTTGCAAAAGGCAGTGTTTCATCTTTTCTTATGGCTGAGATCAATATATTCCATTGTATACATGTACCACATCTTCTTTGTCCAATCATCTATTGAGGAGCACTTCGGTTGTGTCCATGTCTTGGCCACCATGAATAATGCTGCAATGAACCCAGGGGTGCATGTATCTTTGCAAATGAATGTGTTCAAATTTTGGGGGTAGACACCCAGAAGACGGGTTGCTGGGTCATACAGTAACTCTGTTCTTGTGTTTTCAAGGCAACTCCATACTGTTTTCCACAGTGTCTATACCAGTTTGCATTCCCACCAGCAGTGAATGAGGGTTCCTTTTTCTCCACAACCTCTCCAGCACTTGTTATTACTTGCCTCATTGATAACAGCCACTTTAACAGGTGTGAGGTGGTATCTCATTGTGGTTTAGGCTTACATTTCTCTAACAGCTAGTGAAGTTGAGCATCTTTTCATTAATCTGTTGGCCATGGGTGGATCTTGAAAATACTATGCTAAGCAAAAAAAGTAGCCAGAAAAGGTAAAAAGCCATAGGATTTCACTCATATGTGGGATATAAAACTGAAAGCAACAAATGAACAAATAAGACAAAAAACAAACAAAAACTCATAGACACAGACAGCAGTATAGTGGTTACCAGAGGGAACGGGGGTTCGGGGCAGTGATGAAAGATCTGACTTTGGGTAGTGGGCACGCAGTGCAATATACAGATCATGTATCATAGAAGAGCACATTTAAAACCTAAATAATTTTATTAGACAGTGTCACCCGAATAAATTTAATTGGAAAAAAAATTTAGAATGTCACTTAATTCCAATGTTTGGAGCTTTACTGAGAGGCTCTGTTTATCCATTAATATTCTTGGGCTACAAAAAAGATAAACCTGAGTCAAAATGAATTTTGAAGGATACAGGGTAGCTCAATTGAAGAATCGGTGGAAATGCTTCATAGCCAGGTTTTGTAGGACAGAACTAGGTCACTCTGGGGCTCAAGGAAGGGAAAATAAGGGAGTGTGTGTTACAGCAGTGCAGGGAGAAAGTTCTAATTCTAACTACTTTCTAATTTTCTGTCACTCTGCTTAATAATATTTAGAGTTCACATTTATGTGCTGCTTACCCAGGCCAGTAATGATTCTAACTATTTTCCATGCATTAACTCACCTAATCCTCACAACAGGTTTATGAGGTAGGTAATTCTCTGGAAACAAAGTCTCATCGGTGCAGCTCCAGTCATATTCTCTTGCATTTAGTAGCCTCACCAAGGCAAGATGGAACAGGGAAGTCAGGGTAATTTTCACAAAATAAAGTTTAAATGAGGCTGGGCAGACAGAATCTCAGAGAACTACTGTATTTGATAAAACCCACCTGCCTGGCTCTGAAGGATCCATGTCTCTATTTCCAGGTGGCAAAATATTTTCTATTAGTGATATGCACTGACTAGCATTTAGAGAGTTCAAAAATAAGATACTTATCCTCCAGAAAGAGATGTTATATTTTGTTTTCTTTTACATACATGGATAGGAATATAGTAACACTTAAAATGAGTACACAATTGCACACTGATTCCAGTTATTAATAAATTGAAAAATCATATGTATTTAACAAAAAAATACTTAAAAGAAAATGTAAACTCAGTTAAGTTTAACTTTCCTGACTCCATTAAGTCTAGGAATCATAGAAGAGAGGAAATTCTCTCTCCGTTACCCTAGGATTAGTGAGATAAACATTTTCCCAATCTCTTATAAGCCCCTGGTAAAATAATTCCTTCATTGATTTATTCAAATAAACAAGACTTCCACTGCCAGAGAGAAAAAGACATTTCATTATTCTGAGTACTTCCGTTAAAAAAAAAGCACACCAAAAAATTCTGATGGTTGACCTAGAAAAAAAAAAGCAGTTGCTGCCAATTAATTATCCTATTATTATAATGTGAAGTTTCTGCAGGAGGGTAGGAGACATATTTTATTCATCCTTATATCTGTTGTGCATAACATAGGGGACTACACATTGAAGGGATGCAGTCAAAATTTATTTTACAAATGAAGAAATAAATATTTGAATTTATTTCAAGAGTAGTTCCATTTTTCCGCCAATTAGAACCTGATCATCATTATTGTAATTTAAAGTATCTAGAAATATGAAAAAAACCTCAAAGATTTCAACACATGCAAGAATAATACAAACATCATATAAAGACAATTAGCACTCTGTAAGTTCAAGATTATATTCATTCTTCATTCAGTCATTAGCTATACTTTGAATGTCTGTTGTGTTCAACTCAACAAGTTAATGTTAAAAGAATCAGACGTGTGAATCAGTGCAGGTGACTCACACCCTGTATTCTCAGATTTCCATAGCAATGTTCATATGTTATAAACAACAAGAAGAGTCACTTTCAAGTTAGAAGCCAGAGAGATTCCATCCACAAAGCAGAAACTTATAGGAGTTTCAGCTATAAATAAAATAGATCAGATAAAAAGCAAATAAGACCAGTCACCAAGGAATAACTCTCAAATTCCCTGTGCACAGGGGTTTCTCTGGAGGGACAAAATATGGTGGCTGAATATACAGCAGAAAGTGAATGCACCCTTGGGATTCAGTTGGCTGGGGCAAATCACTGGCATTTGAAAGGACTGTTTCTTGAAGCTGAATTATTAGAGGAGCCATACCAAATGGTAAGATTGAAGCTGGGAAGGAAGTTGGGCACAGTTGAGGCAAATCGGCTAAGGAATAGGCAGTAGAGAAAACTGGACCCAGAAATCTGACACCTGTACAGTACCTTCACCAAATACGGAGAGAAAACACTGCACAGTCGACATTCCTCTACTGGACCCCCAGGTGTTCACCTCCTTCTTCGGCCTTGCAGCCTGTGGAAGATGAATCTGTCAACCTACAATAGAAATGATATCAAGCTGTAGTCAAGCCTGAAAGCTTAAAGCTATAGTCTAACCTACTACTTTGTGAGCAAAACCAAAACATAAGTACCCCACTGCTCACACAAGAATGAGAAGCAGGGAGAAAAAAAAAAAAATACTGGGATGAGGTTATAATAATATTCTAAGGCATAATAAATTGAAGACAACATTCAAGATTTTTAAAAAGCAAAATTTAAAAGTTACCTACTTTATAAGAAATAGAAGTAAATATTAGAAAATGTGTGCTTCATGTCTCCAGTAAAATTAAGAAAACTTGAACTATAAGAGGTTAGATTAAAAACTAGATGAAAGTTTACTTGGGTAAAAGGCAGCACTCTATTAATCTAGAGTGGAGGCAGTTAGAAAAGAATCGACACTACAGAAAATAAAATTAGTGATGTGAGGATAAACCTAAAAGTTTCTTTCAGAATGCAGAGAAAAGGAGTAGGAAATTAAAAGATGAGAAAAAATGTTATAAATGAATGCTAAAAATAAAAAATCCATTAATTATTAATTAGTATTCAGAAAATATCAGAAGAAAATGAGATAGAAGCAATAACTAAAGATATAATAAAAGAAAATTGAAAGATGTTAGAACAAGAAGGTTCCCTAATATGGAAGACTAATGAAAAAAGGCCAACACCTCTTGAAATTTTAACATTTCAGATATAAAAATAACTTGTACATGCATCTAGGTAGAAAAAAGACAAGCTAGAAAAATAAAGGTAGAAAGCTAATAAAGTCCATACTGGGGTGTGGGGTGTGGGGGGGAACCACAAATACCACCCTTTTCATTGACTCTGGGATCAACAGGAACTCAATACTCCTGTTAAGAGACAATTTAAAAATAACTATCAATAGAAAATAAGTAAAGGATAATGAAGGCAATTTATAAAACAAAACTAAAATGAATACTAAATAATAAAATACCAATCACTTACATAGCACTCATTTTGTGCCAGGTGCTATTTAAAAGACTTAAACAAATTACATATGTTTAGATATAAAATCATATTTATATAGTTAATAGGTCAATAAATTTACCAAAATCTCAACCTCATCATTAATTAAAGAAGTAGAAATTAAAACAATAATGTCATTACAAACTATATTATTCTATCAAATTGACAATGATTACAGCTATTAATTATAGCTATTGGACCCAAAACAAACATTCTCATATATGTTGGTAAGAGTATAAAATGACACTACCAGTCTGGAAGGAAGTTTGATAAAACTTATCAAAACTTAATACACCCATATCCGATGGCCACCCCTGCTCCTCTAGACAATTCTGTATCTGGAAATCTATGCTAAAGAAAGAATGTTTCCTTTAAAAAACGGTATGTAAAATCACTTCCAATGCAACATTTTAATTCATTCCTACCTTATTAATTTCTCAGCCCTTATTATACAGTAAAAATGTTAACACAGAAAACAGGAAACAAGCTTTATTATTCATCAATAATGGGTAGTTTAAATAAATTATGGTATATCCAAACTGTGGAAAACTAAGCAGCTATTGAAGATGAATGATGATATATATTTGAATTTGATGACATCAAAATATCTGAAAAGTCAAAGCATGATGCCACTTCTTCAGAGGAAGAAGGTAATCTTCTGACTGGAAGGACAAAGATCAGGGAAGTGGCAGCCTGTGAGTTGCCTCTTCAGAGACAGGGATCGGACGAGTCTGTATCATCGCCCATGGAGAGGAATGCGACAACAAATAGGAACCCAGGTCTAGGCAGTCAGAATCATGATAAATACATTGTTCAACTTGGGGTTTCCAGATAAAATACAGGTCACCCAATTAAATTTGAATTTTAGATAAACAGATAATACTTAGTAGAGTACGCCCAAAATATGCAATATTTGGGAAAAATCACCACAGGGCCAGCAGTGGATTATGAAAAAGTTCAGCTGAAATGCCTTTAACATGCTTTTTGGACATTAATAGGATTTTTATTTTGCCTTTCCTCCATTCCTTACCCTTCAACTCACTTAAAAATTTAGAGGGATACACTAGAAGTGCCATGCAAGCAATTTCAGACACAACTGGTTCTGGGCTGAGAAAAGGGAAGGACTCCAGAGTCTTTGAGGGAGGCAGTCCTAGAGAGGCAGGTGTGTGTAGTGAGCCCAGCTCTGGTCTCCATCAGGGCAGAGTATGCACCAAGCTCTCAGAACTGGCAAATGCCCACAGGGCCAGGCCAGGGAGCAAATAGCCAGGCTCAAGGCAAAGAATCCAGGAGCTTGGCAAAGACAGCAACTTTTCCTGGACATGTCGCTGAATTGTGAGTTTTAAAAAGGAAATAGAGCTGACCATTATGTTATTTGGGATTTCCACAAAACTATGTCCAAAGATGACTGTGATAAATATTTCCCAAGGTAATTCCAAAAACGGCCACAGTAAAAGCATAGTGGTTTAAAAAATGAGATCTGAAGTCAGATAGAGCTGTGTATGAATCCAAGCTCTACCCACTGTGAGTTAAGTGACCTTGGATAGGGTTCTCATCTCTACAGACTCAGTGTCCTTTCTGTAAAATGGGAATCATCCCAAGATCATGAAATGAGCATATATATATTGTTTATCTCATAGCACAGTAGTTACTAAATAAGAGCTAATCATAATACTCTAATATTTTTGATGTTATCAAAAGGCAAAAAATATATAAGAACTGTTGATCTTCCCAGCATTTCTTCATACCAATAAGAGAAATCAGGGATCTTGTGGTCTAGAATCAAGGTCCCTATAATTTAGGGTGATATTCCAGCATTCCAGGTGCTCTAAAGTCTCTGGAGTGCTAGAATCATTCCCAGGTTAATGCTGCTAGAAAAGGAGATCAGTTACCCACAGAGGGGTGGGGAAAATATGTTCCAGTCCTTGAGTGACTTCAAAATAGAAGGATTTTCAGAGGCGGGGAATATCTGAGATTCCAAGAACATATTTTAGAACTTTCTTGAGGGAAGAAACTAGGTCATGTGCTCTTAACCCAATGAGGTTTAAGATCACAGTTGGGGGGAGAGAGAATATAGTTGGCCTTAATTAGCTCCAAAAAGAGCCCAGAACTCCTGGGACTAATCCAAAAGAACTTCTAGTGGAGATATCCAAGCTCCCAAATGTAAATACTAGTTTCAGGAGAATGAAACCAAATCTAGGACAGCTTCTGAACAATTACCATTTATCAAGCATTTACATGTTGTAAGAACTAAAATTATCCTTTTCACAACTCCTGTTTATACAAAAGGCTTAGTCACCACAAGAAAGTAAGCTCTGTGAAGGGATGAACCGTGTCTGCCCTTTTTACTGCTTTATGGGCAAGGAGTGGCAGCGTGCCTGGCATATAGTTGGTGCTCAATAAGTACTCATTGAACCAAATCATTCAAAACTACACAATGAGATAATAGAGGGATCTGGGATTTGAACCCTGGTCTGACTCTTAAAACTACACTTGCCTCTATGTCACACTGCCAACCAAAGCAGTCTTAGGCCAGACCAATCCCAAGGCAAGCTCCTGTCCTGGCTCTCTCCCCACAAGCTCTCTTGGGGTCCACCGAGCTGTACTGAGAGAACCACTTGGAAGGGCACCACTGGGAGAATCTATGAATCTAGAAATTGTAGCAGGTATTGCTAGTTGCCTCTTAAATATGTTTTTCCCTTCTAAAAGAAGCTGGACTTATTCAGGCGACAAAGTTCCCATTTTAAAAAATTCATCTCCTAAAATACTTGGTATCTTAATTATTGCAATGATTTCATACTCATCAAACTGTATATAGTTTATACTTTATATACATGCAGCTTATTGTATGTAAATTATACTTCAATAAAATAGTAAAATACACACACACAACAGAACACAACACAGACTGCCCCAGATTTCCTGTGAGCCACTTCTAGCCAATGAATGTAAGCATAAGTCTACTAGATGGGGTTTCATTATTGTTAATTTGAAATGAACGGTTTACCTTTTGAGTTTCCCTTTTTTTTCTGCTTGGAGGTGAAGCTGCCATCCAGAGAAAATGAAGACAAAAGCTTCAGGCTAAGGCTGGTGAAACAGGAGGCTAGAAGGAACCTGAGTCCTTGATAACTGTCTGGAGGGGCAGCACCTGCTTTGGCTTGTCCACCTCCTGATTTCTTGTTCTGTGAGAAAAAGAAGTGTCTATTTAGTTGACCTGATAATATATGGTTTCTCTATATGCTGCTTATAGTTACTGAATGGCAATATTCCCAAGAAAAGCATAATGAAGATAGCACAGCACCATTCCTCAAAAATTCTCAAAAATTGCTGCAGATCCCGGCCAGACGTGGCTCAGCAGTTGAGCATCGACCTAGGATCCAGGCGATCGGGGTTCGATTCCTGGTCAGGGCACATACCCAGATTGTGGACTCGATCAGTGACTCTCTCATCATTGATGTTTCTATCACTCTCTCTCCCTCTCCATTCCTCTCTCTGAAATCAATAAAGATATATTTTTTAAAAAGAAATTGCTGCAGAGTAAAATCCAAAGCCTCCTCAGTCTCATCCGCTACTATGGTACAATGGCTTCCATAAACATGTCCTTCCAGCTCTAGCAGTCTCTTTGCTACATTCCAAACAAGTAATGTTTTAAAATTAATGCTATTCTCTCAACCTGATATATCATTCTTCTCTAATCTTACAGACCTTGGAAGACTTACAGAATTGATACAGGCCATGGTTAGCTAGTGAAAGTCTTGAGAAGAAAAGTTATGTCTCCTGAATATAAGCCAGATGCTCTTTGCCCTAAATACCCATATCTGGAGTGGGAAAATCAAATGCTCTGGTAGAGACTTGATTTAGTCTTTGCTTCGCTTTAATGTCAAAAGCTCTCACTTTAAAAAAAATTAATAAATTATCTTTTATTTGAAATATGTCAGAATAAAAAGCTCATTTACAACAGCAGTTGTAAGATAAACTAACATTTTAAGAACATTTTTTCCTGTTCTACAGTGTCTGATTACACATGAAGACAGAGGGTTTCTGTTTTGTACAGGTAGTAGAACATATATATATAAATGTTACATTGTTTCAAGGTAAAAACTAAGGCTAGGCAATGTGCTCTGACATTTTGTGTGGTGGCCAAACCCCAAAGTTACTGACCAAAATATTTCATTTCCAGAGCTACTTATTATGTAACTAGGATAAAGTAATTAAACCTTCCAGTTCATCCATCTGTCAAGGAGAAAGAATATTATATTTGCCATCTGTCCAGCTTTCAGATATGGCAAATATTGATGAGAGAATCTAAACTAAGTATAGGGCTTTATTCCAGTTCATTTAAAAGAGTTGACCAGTATTGAAAACTCTACTCTACAAATCAATTTTTATTTATTGATCTTGTTTTTTGAAATATTTCAAATATAACAGAAGCTAATTATTTGCTACCCAGATCTAACAGATGTTAATATTAGACCTTCTTTTCTTCACATTTCTTTATTCTTTAATAATATTACAGATACAGCTAAAGCTCTAATTCCACACCCATGCCTTTCCTCTCATCTTTTCCTGAGATATCCTAAAGTTTTGGAGAATTAATTCCATGCAAGACTACATAATTTTACTACATGCATAAAATAATATACATAATCTTACTTTGATTTTAAGTTCACATATTTTAAATCATATGTAATTTGCCTTTTTCATTGAATATTTTGTTTTTCAAATCTATTAATACTGATATATGCAGATTTACGCCAGTGATTCATTTTAACTGTCAAGTAATAACAACCTACAGTTATCTCTTCCCTGACTAGAAGGCAGGTTATTTTTCATTTTTTACTATTCCAAGCAATGCTGTAATGAATATCTGTGTACATATATACAAGTATTTCTCTAAAATATATGACTGTTCTTTGAAGAAATTGCTGTACACTTTTGTACATTTTAACAGAAAACTCTCTAGGAATTTTGATTGGAATGGCATTGAATTTTTAGATAAATTTGAGGAGTTCATATTTTTAGGAGTGTTCCTATCCATGAATATGGTATATCTCTCCAAATGCTCAGATCGTCTCATCACTATCTTTAAATAAAGTTTCATAATTTTTAAAAAAGTCTTTATTGATTTCAGAGAGAGGGAGAGGGAGAGAGGGAGACAGAAACATCAGTGATGAGAGTCATTGATCGGCTGCTTCCTGCACGTCCCCCATCAGGGATCAAGCCCCCAATCCAGGCATGTGCCCTGACTGGGAATTGAACCATGATCTCCTGGATCATAGGTCAATGCTCAACAGTGAGCCACACTGGCCGGGAAAGTTTCATAATTTCATACATGAAGAAAGGAAAAGTTTTGTGAGTTTTTTTTTTACCATAAGTATCTTTTAATTTCTCTCTCTCCCCCTGCTCCTCGTTCTTTCTTAATTGTTCCTTTGAGTTATACTTCTCATACTGCATTTCTATAAGGTTGTGCTGTTACACAGAAACTCTGAGGGGTTTTTTTTATATTGAATTTTTATTGTTAATTTTGTGCTTAGCAAATTGCTGAACACTATAAATTCTAAAGGTTCTGTAACAGAGTGAAATGCTTGGTCTCTCTGACTCTGTCTTGTTCAAGCCTGCTTTGTTCTCATAGCCTTTGGCCTAATAGCTTCTGCTTAATCTTGCATATAGACATACTAACCATTAGAGGAATTCTGCTTATGGTTTGAGGAGATAAGGGAAGTATTGTTTACCAAAGATTTGCAGGAACCTTGTGATCAAATTCATATCACCTAGCACAATCTTCTTGGGACCCCTACTGGTACCCAGATGTCTGCAGTGGTCAATCACCTCTTGACTCTCCCATTTCCCCTTCCCTTGACATAAAAGAAGCCTGAAGTCTGTACTTTCTTAAGATGGATTTGAGGTAACACTAAGTCTTTCATTTTCTTGGTTGGCACCTTCTCAATCAATAAACCTTTCCTTACTCTGAACTATGATGTTTTGAGTTTTGGCCTTTTGAAGCATTGAACACATGGACTTTGGACCACTAGCAGTTCTTTTATCATAGATATTTCCATATTTTCCAAATGTCCTTGTCTGCAGATTCTTGTGGATTTTCTTTCAAACATATTATTTGTGGATAAAGACAATTTTATTTCTTTTCAATTTTTGAAGTTTTATTTATTTTTCCTTCCTTATGTTGTTAGCTAGGGCTTATAGTATCATATAGAATAAAAATTTGAAAAAAGGCATCTTTGTTTTGTTTTGCCTTTAAAAATGCTTCTAGTGATTCTAATTTGCTATGAGTTAATATCTTTAATTAGTGAGTAATTTTTTAACAGTTTTCAAGTTTCAATATTAGCATCCAGAAATAGGGTGTTTAAATTAATATATAATAGATAACCATAATAAAAAAGTCTTTGATTGAAATATTCTGTTTGTCTTAAGTAAACATGGGTAATATTTTTTTCTATACTTTAGGATATATCTTAAAGTTGCACCCAGTTCTATATTCATTTTAGAAGTAAGCAAACCTTTGAAAAACAAATCATTAGCTCAAAATATGAATTTCAAATATTTATAGGCATTTTAAGCAACGTTATCTCACTTGATGAAATGCACAGTATTAATACATGCCATTTATTAATATAATTAGCTGGCCTCATAAAACCTAAGGCAAATAATCAAAATAAACTGTAAACATTTAAGTCAACTTTTAAAAATACTAGTACTGTTACTACTAGTTTGTCTAATCTTTTGGGGGTCATTTTACTAAAGAGAGAAGCAACTTCTTGATTGCTTTTTCCCTAAAAGATAATCCACGTGAGCAGTAAATAATCCTAACATTCATTCGGTAAGTAGGTTATCATGAACATGAAAAGCCTTTTCTAATGGAAACATTATTGCAAATGTAGTTAAATTCTCACACTAACACATAAAAAGCTATTTAATCCATAATATACCAAAAGTAAGTACAAAATATGCTCTTTCAACTACACCAAACCATCATATATAACATATTTCTATTGTGGTAAAAAAAAGGTGACGAGGCAAGTATTTGTGTATTTGTTGGGAAGGATAAGTAGATGACCTAGGGCCAGAACAATTTGTTCATTCTTTAAACTAGTTCTTTTCGATGGTTTAAACTGTCTTTTTTCATTTGAAATTACAGTAAAAGCCCTGATAAATACTTCAAGTTAAGCTTTGCTATATTCTAGGGACATAGTAGAACAGAAGTCATAAATCCAATCAACAGGCTTTTTTCTAGTCTATATTGATGTTCTCAATTTTAGTTGAATAAGAATCAGCTAATTACGTAGAGTGATGGATTAATTAGTTTGATTGCTGCAATTATTTTACAACATATATGTATATCAAAATGCCAAATCCAAGTCCTGCTCCTAAAACATATATAATTTTTATTTGTCAATTATACCTCAATAAAGATGGAGAGAGAGAAAATCACCCAGTAACATTATTAAAATTGCAGATTTCTTCCATCTTTTAACATCACCCTTTCCAAAGATTTGATTCATAGGTCTAGGGTGAAATTGATATTTTTGTTTTTATTTTATTTTTATTTATTTATTTTTATGGTTGACAGTATTACACAAGTCCCCCACTTTCCCCACCTTTGGCCCCCTCCA